AAGAGGTGAGCAGCTATCCTCTACTATTTTATTTCTGCCTTCAAGCCAACCATAGACTGAAATCTCTGAAATGACGAACCAAAAGAAACCTTTTCTCCTTTCAGTTGTGTACATTACATATTTTTTTCCCCAGCAATACAAAGGTGTCTATAATGGTTCCATCACTTTATTTTTAATTCTTAACACAAAAATTCTAGACACAAAGTTTCTTTCTTTTGAACTCACTGTGCTCTAACATGTTTAATATAATGTAAGACTTAGTGTTTCAACTAAACTCAACACGAAAATAAAGTTACTCCATCTTAATTAGTAATTTTGAAGGAGCAAGGTAATTAGAGTGGACCATTGAATTGGGAAGTAGGTTTCATCTATAGCACATTCCATTCAGTATTTATCTTTTAATGTGTCACCAGCATATTAAAGCCAACTGAAACCATATGATGAATTCTTATTTTACTTACTTAGATGTCTGTGCCTTAAAATCATAAACAGCTTTTGCAGGAAATTTCTGAAAAGAGAGAAAATAACGCTAACTTAAAATTTGAATTTCTTGCAGTTACACTCACACACACACACACACACACACACATACACACACACACACACACCCCCCACACTATGTAAATCCTATGTGTGACTTACAAATAAATAAATTTGTTTTTCATTTGGATATTTAAACTGTAATAGGGATACAGTATCTCACCTCTTCATAATCCTGTGAATTTTAGGAACTAAGGTAGCTTAACGCCATATAATAGGATAATAACACATCTGTGGAAGATTCTTATTAGATGCAGTTTTGGCTATTATAAAGGCTTTTCAAGGAACAAGTGTGGAGGGTCAATAACTCTGTGGATTAACACAACTCTGAATTACCACAAAAAGGACCAAAGGCAACAAGGAAGTCATCATCCCTTGCACCGAATATTTATAACACGGTATTCAAGAAGCCTTAGCCTAGCTATTACTGAGAGGCTGGACAGTGGCCAAGAGCACCTGTGCAGTCGTCATGCCTGTTCTGGGAGTTACACAGCACGCTGTGAGTCAGATACTCACGGTTTAGCTAGGATGTGATGTGACACATGCTCATGCTGAAAGTTGGGGCACACGGATCTACAGAAGACACCTGCATCTTGTAGCTCTCACACAAGCCCCTCCTTCCACACCACCCACTAATTCCTTTACCTCATTCTATTTCTCTATGATTCCGAAAATCTGGACCATTTCTGCTGTCCCACAGCCACTGGATGCTGTCAGACACCTTGAGGCGCTCCTAGAGTGATTGCTAAACCATGGCGCCCTTCCGGTTACCATCAACTCTCATGGCTCCAGGACAGCTGAGGACCAAGCACCAGCTGGTACCTGGCTCCCGGGAACAGTGCTACTAAGAGCTGGTTGGGTAAACTTTATTTTATAGGGATCTTTTTTAACAAAATTAACCAGAAAAAATGATTTGTGTAGAATTTATATTGATTTGCAAATTGTGAAGGAAACCTTCCTCCAACAAGGCAGCTCAAGGCAAGGCTCTTTTAGACCACTTATGTTAACTCAGGTGTCATTTAAAGGCCCAGAGAGGTCACAGTTGAGGAAGGGAAGGACAGGAGTTGCCCTCAGAGCACAGACTGCTTTCAGTCCAGAGTCAGGCTCTACGGAAAACTCCAGTTTCTCATTTTCATGTTTCAAGTTTTACTGGCTAGGGCTCTATCAAGTATGTTATTTTAAAAAGACTTCAAAGCTGATAAATGTTCTACCTCTTTTTCTGGAGTTCCTCTTCTTTCCCTTGATGCACTTCTCCCCAAGTCAGTGAAAGTGGACGAGTAACTTCTAGGGGACTCTCGGTCTATCAGATAGGAAAGGGTCAGTCAGTGAGAACCCAGCCACTCATAGCCCATCAGGTCAGCTGTTGTCCAGTGGCACCGCTTCTCCCCAAGTCCCCCTCCCAAGTTTGAAAAGACACCACTACTGAGAGCATGGGTATAAAAATCACTCATAATTATAAATGTGATGAAAAAAGCAAAACAAGAATATTTTGAAATAATTATCTGACCTAGCAGAAGAATTATACTCATACAGGTAAACATAATTGTTAATTGGTGATTCACTATACTGTAGTTTCTGGTGTAGATAAGTCATAGTTATAGGGATTTTAATACCAAATAATTTCTCTTCTTACTATTTCTGGTCTGTTCCAATTTATGATTACTATTAGGTGGTCTGTAGAGTAGGGAGAATTTGAAGATAGCAACAATTTCAACAATTCAATGAAATATTGAAACACTTGTGGAACAACAATTTAAGAAGGTAACAATAAAAAATAAAGATAAAATGAATGAATGTATGATGATGATGATAAAATTATGGTTCT